GTACCCAGGCATTTTTTCCCAGTTCCTTCACAATTAGGTGATTTAATAGTTCTAAACCTTGGCTGTACATTGGAATCACTTAGGGAACTTTAAAAAGCACTGATGTGAAATTTTCATGGAATTCCCTTAAGTCTTCTGCTGAGTATTAAGCTGAAAATGTACAGAGGGAGACTGAGAGTGTGACAGGAAACAGCTACTGGAGGGCTATGAGCTCAACAGAAATTTTGGTAGTCTCACAGTGCAGACAGATACTCGATTTCTGACTAGCCATATTAGAGAGATTTCACTGAATACTCTGGACATTCAGTTGAGACCCCAGAAAGCCTGTGCCTTTCTATCTTTAAAATAAAGCTAACTGCCTGCCTAAAAAAAATGAGACTTTAAAAGGAGATACCAGTCTAGACTCTCAACATTGTATCCACAAATAAACAAAAATTGCTGGAAATTGGAAGAAACTGGGAAATGTACACCAAACTGGAAGAAAGAACAATTAGTAAGAACAGGTTCAGAGATGAGAAGATGATGGAATTAATAGATGAGAACTTCAAAATCACTCTTATCAATATGTTCAGTAAAGGAAGAGATGGGTGTAACAAATGAACAGATGGGGGAATCTCAACAGAGAATTGGAAGCAACAAAAAGAGCAGAATAGAAATTATAGAGCTAAAAAATGTAATATCTGAAATTTTAGAAATTTACTAGATTGGATAATAGCAAATTGGACACTGCAGAAGGAATAAAGAACAATGGAAAGGGAAAATAAACATGTGGACACACTGAAAGGCTTTTTTCTCAGTACTTCATCCAGGTGACTGAGGACATCACCAGCTGTCAGAAGTCACATTCATAGTATGTACCCTTGATATGAAGTGATGAGAATGACACTTTATCTTTGTGGCCTTCCTCCTCAGAATTTATAAACTGAGTCTAATTTTGAGGAAAAAAATATCATGTAAATCCCAACTGAGGACATCCTATAAAATACCCAGTATTCCTCAAAGCTGAGGAAGATTTCATGACCTTGAGATATTTGTTGATGACGCTGAGGTCATCAAACCTTGAGGTCATCAAAAACAAGGAAAGTCTGAGAAGCAGTCACTGCCAAGAGGAGCCTAAGAAGACATGATGACTGGATGTAATGTGGTACTGTGGGTAGAATTCTGAAACGGAAAAAAGGACATTTGATAAAAACTAAAGAAACCTGAATAAAGAATAGACTTTAGTTAATAATAATGTCCCCAAAATGGCTTCTTAATTGTAGCAAATGTACCATACTAATGTAAGTGTTAATAATAGCAGAAACTGGGTGCAGGATGTGTAAGGATGCTCTTTACTGCCGTTGCAATTTTTCTGTAAATCTAAAGCTGTTGTAAAATTAAAAGTTTATTCAAAAAACTAAATGGACCATAACAAGTGCTGACAAGGATGTGGGGCAACTGGAATTCTCGAAGGAATGTAAAAATGGTATAGTTTGGAAATTTCTTATAACGTTAAGCTTTTACTTATAATATAATCCAGCACTGCCACTCCAGGGAATTTAACCAAGAGAAATGAAAACATATGTCCTCATAAAGACTTATATGTGGATGTTTATAGAGGGTTTATTTGGAACTATCACAAGATGTCTATCAGCTGGTGAATGGAGAAGTAAATTGTACACATCCATGCAATGGAGTACAACTAACTAATGAAGAAGGGATGGGCTACTGATACACATAAAACATGGATGAAGCTCAAAAGCACTATGCCAAGTAAAAGAAGCCAGACACAGAAGAGTTCATATGGTATCATTCAATTAACGTGCAATTCCAGAACAAGCAAAGCTAATATAAGGTAGAAAAAGTCAGAACAATGTTTACATCTGGAGCTCTGGGGATTGAGTAATAAAGGGCAGGTGGGAACTTTCCGAGGTGATGCATCTATTCCTTATCTTGATAGGGATGTAGGTCACATGGGTGCATACATTTGTCAGAACACATAAAGATGTGTAGTTAAGATCTATAAATTTTAGAGGTATGTATGGTATAGCTCATTAAAAAAAAAAAAGGATGGTAAAAGTGCTGATGTCTATGTCCCACTCCCAGAGATTCTGGGTTTTTAAAGACTCCCACAACCAAGGTTAAAAGCCACTGTTACAGGTACTTGTCTAACAATAGGACCTTTGTCATTCCTGTTTGCCATGGAGATACTTCTCTGACTTTGATGTGTAGATCCTGGAAGCTGGATGTATGGATTTACATGCCTGCGTGATGGCTGGGTCCACCTGGGGATGGCTAATTGGCAATCACCAAGAGGCCAAAAGAACCAGCAAGAAGATAGGACCAGGATAGAGTCTCCCCAAAGCTCATCCAACTCTTCTCTTTCTGCTTATCTGAGAATGGCCCTGCTTTTTCAGGGAGTGGATTGTTTTGCTGAAGGAAGAGAGAAATTAGAAGGGACCAGTGGAGGTATCGTTATGGAGCAGGGGGAATTCTTATTCCATAATAATTTTGGAAAATTGTCTATCTTCAGTTAGCTGGTATCACACAGACAGCAAGTTCCCACTGGATTATGTAAGCCAGTCTGGTCTTGATTTTATCCCCTTGGTAACTTCGGGCAGACTGTAAAAAGAGAGAGTGGGATGGGTCCATGTGTTGAGCACATGCCCTGCACTCTGCTGGAACTTCGTGTCTTCTTTCCACTTTGGGGTTAATACGTAACTTTCCTGTTAGCAATTTTTCTTCTTTTGAAGCTGACAGGCAACCCATTAACATTTTTAGGGCAAAAAAAAGCTTTTCTTAAACCTTTATCCAACATTAATAAAACTGTATAGTAAAAATTGAAATGATAAATCATAACAGTTATACCACGGATGCTCTTTGATATTTATTTCAGAACACATGGCCAAAGTTTCTGAGAGGGCTCAATAACTAGAACTTTGATTAACAATTTCTTCTAGGGTGCACCAATAAATACAATTTAGACTCTCCCAGTTGAAAGGAATTTTTCAGGTCATCTAATCCAACCCTATCATATTGTTAAGTTGCTAAGTGGTACCCAGTCTCTGCTTGCACAGGTCCCCAAACAGCGAGACGTGTACCTAGGAGCTGTTCCAACAGAAAGTTTTTCCTGGTATGAAGCCACACCTGCTTCTCTGTAACTTTTAGCCATAGAAAATGTTGGATCCTTTTTCCTGTTGGCTGTTCATGAGCCTTTACTGCAACAAGTGAAACATCTCCAATTGCTTAAAACATCCCTCCTGTAATTTGGATTTGTCTGCACTCACCAGTTCACCTTCTCTTTCCCTGATGAGTCCTGGTCCATTTCCATTCAAACCCAACACAGTTCATCTGACCCCATGCCACCTGAGCGCCTTCTCAGTGGCAGGCACTAGGCTCAGCGCTGTGGGGAAGACAGGAGCAAGTCAACCTTGGCTTTGTAAGACAGAGAGGGCTTGGACACAAAGGCCCTACAGGGTGGGCTGTGATACAGGGCAGGAGAGAGGGACAGTATCCTATTTTCCTCCCAGATTCCTAGGCTCTCATCTTACAGTGCAGCAGGTTGGCTAAAATATGACTGTGCAAGCTCAGGGCATGCTTAGAGTAGGCTGATCATCAAGTGTTTATCAAGTGATTAGGTCTCTGTGTTCCAGATTCCTGGGAGAGACAGTGTGATTGGCCCAGCTTGAGTCAGAGGTCCACCTGGCTCTATCATTGGTCTGCAGAAGGGACCTTGTCCAGTGATATGAAAGGCCATACTTTCTGGGCTAGGAACAAGGAAAGTTCTGTGAAATATGAAGGAGATTGGGGAGGAAATTATAGGCATCTTAGAGACACATTATGGATATAATATCCATAATATATAATACCCATAGATATATAAGCAATATATAATATCCATAAGCATTAATCCTAAAAGATGTGCATTTTCTCCATTTTATAGCTGGGGAAGCAGATTCAGAGAGGTGAAGTGACTTTGCCAAGGTTACTACTTGTTAATGGCAAAGTTGTGGTTTGAATTCAGGGCTGCCACATGGATGCCCTGCATTTCCTCAATGATTCTTTCTGGAACTCACTTAGTTATCCACTTATTTATTCATATATTCATTCAACTAGAATTTCTCCAGCACCAACCATGGGTCTGGCATTATGTGAGGACCGAGGATACAGCAATTAGCCACACAGACATGCCTGGAGGGACACCCATCAAGAGTGTGAGAGAGTTCCTGCCCTGCTCAAACACATGGTTTTACAGGAGAGATGAGACATACAGACACTACAAGCTCATGCATTGTTGCATGAAATGACCGATGTTACAAGGGCTAGAAGATGTCAAAGTAGAGAGACCTCTGAGGACTGGAGTGGTTGGAGAAGCCTCCTGGAGGCAAAACTCTGATTAGAGAGAGAAGGAAGGAAGGATCCCAGCAGGCAGAGGGTTGCACTGATTCTGTCTTCTGAGTATCGCTCATTTATATCCACTTTTCTGCATCCCACTGGGCCCTCCCCTGGCCCGGGTAGCTCCCCTCACCTGGACACAGCAAAAACCTCCCCAGCAGATCCACCTCCTCCTTGCCTCATGGTCCACAAATCCATTTTAAAATTTAATTTCGAAAACCTTGAAACATAGCAAAAAGTATAGCAAATAATGCAAGAGCCACAAGATAACCACCATTTTGGCTCAATAGATATATATGGACATTTCATTGTATTTGATTCACTTTCTCTGTCTTTTACAGAAATATAAGATTATAATGTCAGCCAAATTCCTACCCTATCCCTTAAGCCTCCCTCCAAAGAGTAATATTATCCTAATTTGATGTGATATATTCTCACATGTGTTTTTCTGTCTTTTCCACTGATGATCCACAAACCATATTAAGTTCACATCCGCTTGCAAGTTGCCTTTTCTATTTTCAGATTTGTCCTTGATGCATGGAGATCTGGTTCATTAAGTAGAATTCCAACGTATGAGCAAATTGAAGTTTACAGTTATTCCTCTATAGATGCCTGAATAGGTTAGTTCTACTTTTTTACTATTACAAGTGGTATTTAGTGAATATCATCACACATGTCTCTTTGGGTAGGAACCAAGGTATGGAGTTGCTGGATTAAGAATACATAGGTCTTCAGTTTACTAGGTGTTGCCAAATGGTTCTTTAAAACAGCAGTGCAGACTACATGTATACTTCCCATTGCATCTGAGTATGGAGTTCCAGTGGCTCCACGTCCTCACAGATCTTGGTATTGTAAATCTTTTTTTTTTAAATCATGTCCCATCTTCCCATGGCAGATAGAGAGAACTGTCTAATATCATGCCTGACTATGTCCCTTCCCTGTTTAAAATCCTCCAGTCCTCCCCTACTGCTCTCTGTTGTACCACCTAGAGTCTTGCTCTGCATAAACTAATCCATGTCCACTTCTCCAGACTCACCTCTCTATCCCCTCCTATTCCAACACTCACGAGTACACACACAAACGTACGCACGCATGCATGCACACACACACACGCATGTGCACATGCTACAGTCCAATCAAGCCAAACCATGTTTGTTCATGTCCCCTAACCTACTTGCCTTCCCTTGTCTTTGGGGATATTCTTTTCTTCTTCTTCAGAGGGCTGGTTCCTACCAGCCCTCAGCTCTCAGCTTGAGATCTCCTCCCTTGGGAAGCTTCTGCAGGCATCCCAGGCCTGAGTTGGATGCCCTTCCTCGCAGCACCCTTGACTTCTGGCATTGCGGTTCTCAGCACATTGTCTTACAGTTGCCTGTTAATCACCTCCCCGCCCCACTAGACTGTGGACACCTTGATAGCAGGGCCCATGTGGAGTTTCTCGCTGGAGTGTGCTCTGTGCCCAACCTACCTACTGAATGAATTTGTTAAATAATCCACGGACAGGAGACAGGTCCACAGTGAGCAGAGGCAGCCAGATGGGGAGCAGCTGGGAATCAGACTGGATAGGAGGTGCTGCCCCACCATCTTCGTAACCCCAATTTTCAGGAAAGGAGACAAGGGCTCAGCCAGGGGGCTGACCTGTCTAGAATCATGCAGCTTTGATTCCCAGTCTCCTGACTCTGTGTCTGGGCCCTCTCTGCTGCCCCTCAGCTGCAGTCAATGGGAAGGAGGCAGTAGAGAGGGAGAGACAGGGCTACCAGGAAGAGAAGGCTGAGCAGAAGAGGGAGCCCTTGGGATCTAGGTTGCAGGTGGAGAGCTTGGCCCAGCAGATATGACCCTGGATCCTCTGAGCCAGTGAGGAAGGAAGAACATTGGGCCAGACTTCTAGATCAGGCCCTTGTTCAGGCTGTCCTGGGAGACTTGAATGGGCCAGGTCCTTCTCTGGGGAGGAGCAGTCTTGGGGCAAGCAACCGAGCACGTCCCTCAGCTCCCAGCCCACCCGAGTGGCCTCTTCCTGCTGCATCAGGAGAATGATTTCTCAAGACCCCCTGTGATAAGAGGGAGACTGGAGCCAAGGGCAGCTGGGAAGAAATAGGAGCCTAATACAAACAGGCAGGAGCTGGCCCGGGGCCCAGGCCCTGAATGGAGAGTACTCAGCTCAGGCCCACAGACTCCACCCAGGTCACCGGGCGTCTAGAGGAACTCACATGTGCCAGGGCAAGTGGACATCAGCAAAATGGGGACAATAATACCCATACCTCATGCGATTATCGTGAGGATGAGGTAAGATAAAATGTGTAAAGGGGCTAGAATAATGCTCAGCACATTATATCACTCAGTCAGCTCTAGTTATTATCATCTTCTTACAGGGCTGTCAGGAGGAGTGAACAGGATGATGTGGTGGATGAACGTGTAAAGCTGTGTAAATGTTGGTAAACAGTCTTTCGTCAGGAACTCCATAAATGAGTGTGGACGACGTGGAAGCCAGTGGACAGAGGGAAGGCGTGTGGACTTGAGTGACCAATCGCCCTCCTCTGTTCCTTTGGTTTCTTCTTCTGACACCTGCATCAGAGACTACACCAGTCGGTTCTGGAAGGATGCTGAGAGATGGCCCAGGACAATCCTCCAGCTTCACACAAGGAGAAACCGAGGCCCGCAGGCTGGAAGTGACCTGTCTAGGGCTGCCCACAAGGTATTGCCAAGGACAGATTTCCCCAACTCAGATCCAGCACTCCTCCCTCTGTCCCCTCAGTTCAGCCCAAGCTCAGGATGTGGCTCTTTCAGCCGGTTCAGTGGTTGGCTTGTCTTCCGCAGTTGTCCACCCCCACCTCCAAGTCAGCAGGGCTCCCGCCCGCCAGCTCTGAGCACCTCAGTCTCCAAGAGCCCCTGCCTTGAATGCCCTCTTTCTGTTTTCTCATGAAGGGCAATTGAAAGTAATTGAAAGCCACTTCCAGCTCTGGTTTCCCCGCAGAGCTCTTCTTCCCTGGGCTTCTCTTGGAGAGGTTGGGAGCAGGTCAGCGGTGTGTAGACACCTGCTACCTTCCCCAAGGCTCCTTCAGCATTGGGCAAGTGCGAGCATTTCCCTTCCCCTTGAACAGAACCCCTTTCTTCCATCCCTCCTTCCTTCCTTTTTCACTTTTTTAAATTTTTAAAATTTTTTCTTGAAGTATAGTCAGTTTACAATGTTGTGTTAACTTCTGGTACACAGCATAGTGATTCATATATATATATATATATATACACCCATTTTCATATTCTTTTTCATTATAGGCTATTGCAAGTTGTTGAATATACTTCCCTGTGCTATACAGTAGGACCTTGCTGTTTATCTGTTTTATTTGTAGTAGTGTGTACCTGCAAATCCCGAACTCCCAATTTGTTCCTCCACCCCTCCTTCCCCACTGGTAACCATAAGTTTATTTTCCATGTCTGTGAGTCTGCTTCTGTTTTGTAAAATCATTTGTGTCATTTTTTTAGATTCCACATGTAAGTGATACAATATGATATTTTTCTTTCTTTTTCTGGCTTACTTCACTTAGAATGATGATCTCCAGGTCTAACCATGTTGCTGCAAATGGTATTATTTTATTC